TATATATATATATATATATATATATATATATATATAGACGGTATAAGGTAATTCGTTGACTTAAAGACGTATGTATCATATGTATACTGATTGTGAGCCACAGCAACGCGTGCCGCGGCACCACCCCTAGTATACCTGATATATTTACATATGTTGTTTTTATATTTATTTATATGTTTATTATTATATTTCTATTTATACATGTTTGTACATATATTTGTTTCTATCTATGACTATCGCATTCGGCATTCTATCTTAATTGATACAATTTGGAAAGTGATAGTTTTTGTTAGCTACCCTCATCCCAAAATCATACCGATGCACTTTGATATGCATTTGTATATGGTAACAATATTATAATAAATAAATCATACAATTATCTTATTCCTGATACTCTGCATTTGACTCATTCTTTTGAGGCTTGGTTTTAAGAAGATTTGTCACTTGTAACACGTGTTTTTTATTTTTATTTTTTTGAGAAAGATATTAAATCTCAAGGATGCAAGCAAACGTGCAGCAGCAAACATCGAAAGTCAGCGTCGGCGCCAACTTTGATTCCAACGGAGGGGTAGACAACGTGCGTGTTACAACGACTCTCATGAAAAGCGTTTCCTTGTTCCTCACGAGTGCTTGGAGAGTATCGTTGAACGGAAAGAGACCGTCCTCGGTTAAAACAACAAAACAAGAATTGCGAAGACCTCGTAAAAAAAAAATGCCGGAAAGTGGGAATCCAAGAAATTCTGCTTACATCATCAAAATCATCGAATCTCTGAAGAAAAAGACCAAATTTAGCAGGTCTTATTAAAATAAACATAAATCATTATCAATTATAATATATTTCATGATTTTGAATAAACTTCTTTTATATATGTTACAGAACAGAATTAGATGGACTCTGTAAATTGTATAAAAATTTAATGAAAGAAGCTGGTCAGCAACAAGTGAGTCCATCGATGGGCATTTATAGAAGATCAAGGCCAATCCATAGTATCGAGGTAAACTATTATAATTTCCAAAATATTTCATACTATTTAGAAATAATATGGTTAATCCAGTTAGCTGTAATTGACAAGTACATATATTCTCGTCATATGGAAAAAAAAGACAATAACCATTTGCTATTTAAATTACAATCTTAGTTTCTAACTAAAAATATATTCGTAAATTTGAAGATGAACTCTTAGGTAAGACGCTTTTCAAATAGGTCATCACAGCTAACTGATAAAATTATATTTATTTATTACTTTATAACAGGATGATATTGTTTCATATTAGAAATGTATATTTGTGTTAGGGAATCGATAGATCAATCTTTCGCAATCTTCTTCACAATACCTTTAAAGTAATAACAGAAGATATATTGGTGGAACGATTATTTTGTTGTTGGGATCGTGAAAGTGAAAGTGCTATTAGATTAGAATCATGGATCATGGGTCTCGATGTTTTTCTCCGTGGCAACCTACAGGATAAAACTGATTTTTGCTTTCGTGTTTACGATTTAAACAATGATGGTTTTATTACGAAAGATGAAATCTTTCAATTATTTAAGTAAGTTTGTTTGAAAAATTCCAAATTTATCATTATTTTTTCACAGTTAGATCAATTCTAAATGTAATTTTATAAAAAATATATATATTAGGGTGGGTCAAAAAAATGACTTTTTTTTTTTTCAAGTGCCACGCAAAAATGGGTTCCTAGACACCTTAAAAGGATTCTCACCCAATATGAGCTCTTAATTTTAATAGGAAGATCCTCCGCATCGCAGTTTTTTATTTTTTTTTTTTCAGTTCAATAGATTAAAATTCATACCTCATTATTTATTGATTGTACAGAAAAATGTTCAAGACGAATTTTGTAGGAAATTTAATGCTCTACAAAAAAGGTATTTTATATATTTTTTCCGTAAACCTCACACCATTTGAATGATATTGAAGATTTAAATTTGATGATTTTTAGACAAATGAAATCATTTTTGCTTATGAATTTTATAACTCGACAATAAATGACTATTAAAAAGTGC